AAGGGTCATGTAAATCTGAAGTTCTTATTAAAGGTTTTTCTACAGATAAAGATGTCTTTTTTGATTCATTCTTGTATATTATTTTCCCGAATTCCTATTCCTCCCTCCCCCTGCAAGTCCTTGTCTGATCACTGTTACCAATACTTTGTTTAGTAGGAGTTGATTGTATTAGCATTAACTTAACATTTTTTTAATTTAAAAATACACAAAAATGGCAAAATACTGTACATGTGAATGTGGTAAATACATTTGGAAGACACCTAGTCTGTTTTGTTTCATTTTTTGAGACGGAGTTTCGCTCTTTTTTGCCCAAGCTGGAGTGCAGTGGCATGATCTCAGCTCAGTGCAACCTCTACCTCCTGGGATCAAGCGATTCTCCTGTCTCAGCCTCCCGAGTAGCTGGGGTTACAGGTGCCTGCTACCATGCCCAGCTAATTTTTTTTGTATTTTTAGTAGAGACAGGGTTTCACCATGTTGGCCAGGCTGGTCTCGAACTCCTGACCTCAGGTGATCTGCCTGCCTCAGCCTCCCAAAGTGCTGGGATCACAGACATGAGGTACCGCGCCTGGCCGAAAACCTAGTCTGTTTTATTTTTTTATGTTTCTGAGACAGAGTGCAGTGGTGCGATCTCAGCTTACTGCAACCTCCACCTTGGGTTCGAGCCTCCCCAGGAGGTGGGATCACAGGTGTGCACCACTGTCTGGCTAATTTATGCATTTTTGGTAGAGATGCGGTTTTGCCATATTGCCCCGGCTGGTCTTGAACAGACTTCAGTCACCCGCCTCAGCCTCCCAAAGTGCTGGGATTACAGGTGTAAGCCACCGTGCCTGGACAGAAACCAAGTCTGTTTTAAAAGTAACTTCAAGTGTTTTTGGTATTAACTCTGTGGTTCATGTTCATAAGTGCTGTTCATCTTAATACCAGGCAGCTTTGTATGCTGAATATAGCCAAAAGAGGAGGCAAATAACTGACCAGGACTTTCTTGTCCAGGCTAATGAAGGGGAACTGTGTTAAAGATTACAAAGAAATTGTGGGACCCAATTGTCACTTTGTATTTGCATCAAGAAAAGCAGTGACAGTGACTCTTCTGCTGCCTCTCTGCCTCCTCTTTCTCCTGAGGTCGTTATTTGTTCCTTGATTTCTTTTGCTCTTGGCCTTTTAAAACTTTTGAAGTGGCTGAGTGCAGTGGCTCACGCCTGTAATCCCAGCACTTTGGGAGGCCAAGGTTGGTGGATCACCTGAAGTCAGGTGTTAGAGACCAGCCTGGCCAATATGGTGAAACCCTACCTCTACTGAAAATACAAAAATCACCTGTGCTTGATGGTGCACGCCTGTTATCTCAGCTACTTGGGTGGCTGAGGCATAAGAATAGCTTGAACCGGGGAGGCAGAGGTTGCAGTGAGCCCAGATCACACTTTGGCACTACAGTCTGGGCGACAGAGCAAGAGTCGGTCTCAAAAACAAAACCAAACCTGTGAAGGGATCTAAGAAAGAACAGCTCTGCCTCTATTGAGTAGAAATGGACTTTAGGTTTTCAATGAAAAGTGAGAAGCGGTTGGCGAAGAAGTATGCCTTTTAAGACTAGGGGAAACCCAGCTTTGGAGCAAGATAGGTTGTTTCCTCTTTGTTATCTTTTGACTGTGTCTCCTCCAAAATTCAGCTATTGGCAATGTGCTGTTATCGAGGCAGTGCTTTTTTTTTTTTTTTTAGGCAGGCTCTGTTATCCAGGCTGGAGTGCAGTGGTGTGATCTGGGCTCACTGCAACCTCTGCCTCCCAGGTTTATGTGATTCTCCTGCCTCAGCCTCCTGAGTAGCTGGGATTACAGGCGTTGGCCACCATGCCCGGCTAATTTTTGTATTTTTAGTAGAGATGGGGCTTCACCATGTTGGCTAGTATGGTCTTGAACTCCTGACCTTAGGTGATCAACCTGCCTCGGTCTCCCAAAGTGTTGGGATTACAGGCATGAGCCACTGTGCCCGGCCAAATTTCTCTTTATTATAAATTACCCAGTCCCAGGTATTCTGTTACGGCAGCTCAGACGAAGACACCCTTTCTCCAAAGAATCTACCCAACATAGGAGCCTATTACAATGAATACTTGACATTGCAACATTGTGTCTGATGAAGCACATTTTATAGCAATAGACAAGGAGTACTCTCTAGTTACCGTTGATGACCTAGCTATACACACCTGGCTGTGCAGTGCCAGAGGTGTGGGAAGGGAGAAATTCCTTCAGAAGTTAACTCTGCCCCTGTTTCTTGGACTTAGTGGCTGTTCATTGCTGCTAGGGGCAAAGCCATAGTGTTGGAATTTTTTCTTTTTCTTTTTGAGACGGAGTGTCACTCTGTCGCCTAGGCTGGAGTGCAGTAGCACCATCTCAGCTCACTGCAACCTCTGCCTTCCGCGTTCAAGCGATTCTCCTGCCTCAGCCTCCTGAGTAGCTGGGACTACAGGCGTGCGCCACCCTGCCTGGCAATTTTAAAAATATTTTTAGTATAGATGGGGTTTCACCATATTGGCCAGGCTGGTCTCGAACTCCTGATCTCGCCATCCGCCCATCTTAGCCTCACAAAGTGCTGGGATTACAGGTATGAGCCACTGTGCCCTGCCCAGAATTTTTTCTGATGAATTTATAAAAACTTAGAGTCCATTTAGGCTTGGATGGCTATCATTTGGACTCAACCAAATTCATGCATCTGATTTATAAAACTGACATAACTTTGTAAATTTACTATGAGAAATCACTCAGAGTAGCATACTCAAGGTTGGTAATGATCATTGAATTTGCTCTTTGTAGAAGCCCAACTTGTTGTACGATGAGCAAGATGAATATATTCTCAATTACTACATAATCATTTGCCAGATACTGTGCTATGCACTGAAGACATGAGCAACACGCATATTTTTTCCTGTAGGCATGCCCATGTGTGAACCGAATGATAAAGTCTGAGGCCTCATTCAGTTTTAGGGATGCCATTGCGTAGAAGCAATACTAGAAGCTACTCTTTCCCTTGGAAAGTGCTTGAGTAGTGCCTAGATTTCCTCCTCAGTGTCTGCTTTTAAAAGTTGCTAATTGGAGGCCTGGTGCTGTGGCTCACGCCTGTGATCCCAGCACTTTGGGAGGCCAAGGCGGGCTGATCACTTGAGGTCAGGAGTTTGAGACCAGCCTGGCCAATATGGTGAAATCCCATTTTTACTAAAAAATACAAAAGTTAGCAGGGCATGGTGACGTGCCTGTAATCCCAGCTATTCAGGAGGCTGAGGCAGGAGAACTGCTTGAACCTGGGAGGCAGTGAGCCTAGATGGCGCCACTGTACTCCAGCCTGGACAACAGAGTGAGACTCTGTCAAAAATAAAAAATAAGTTTCTAATTGGTACCTTTTTTTTTTTTCTTTTGCTATATTAAATACAAATATTGGCCTACTTCCCCCTCAGATTCCTTTAGGGAGCTTTGCATGCTCTAAGTGCCTGCAGATGTGTGTATAAATCCCTGCCCACGCACTTAGAAAATGAGTTGATAAGCCAGGCGTGGTGGCTCATGCCTGTAATCCCAGCTACTTGGGAGCCTAACGCTCCAGAGAATCATTTGAACCTGGGAGGCAGGTTGCAGTGAGCTGAGATGACACCACTGCATTCCACCCTGGGCAACAGAGCGAGACTCCATCTCAAAAAAAAAAAAAAAAAAAAAAAAAGATAAAAGATAAAATTAGAGACTAAGCTGGTCTCAAATTCCCGGTCTCAAGCCATCTTCTAGCCTAAGCCTCTCAAAATGCTGGGATTACTAAGGCAAGAGCCACCACACTCAGTCACTCATCCATTCAACTTCCTCCCCGCACTCCCCACCCCCTCTCGTTGCCCAGATTGGAGTACGATGGCATTGCAACCTCCACCTCCCAAGTTCAAGCGATTCTCCTGCCTCGCCTCCCGAGTAGCTGGGACTACAGGCGTGCGCCACCACACTGGGCTAATTTTTGAATTTGGTATTTGTATTTGGTAGAAAGGGGGTTTCATTCACCATGTGGATCAGGCTGGTCTGGACCTGACCTCAAAAGATCCGCCCGCCTCTACCTCCCAAAGTGCTGGGATTACAGGCATGAGCCACCGCGCCCTGCCTCATCCATTCAACTTTAGCCCTTTGCTGAGAGCTTCATACCCATGTGTTAATACATAATCAAATAGTTATTTCCCATTTCCAACCAGATATCTCAATCTTACTGCAAACTCAATATATCCAAAAGTCCTAAACGGAACCTTCTCCAAAGCCCTCCTCTCAAAACGAGAAAACAACCTTAATTCTGTCAACACAGAACTGTCCAACTGATTTTCACGTTTGTCCAGGCACTGTACTAGGTGCTAAGGAACATGGTGATTGAATAAAAGTTTCCTCCGCATCTGGAAGCATCTAGACGCTGGGCTTCTCCCGGCGGTTCATTATTTGGCACTAAATCTCTGCCTTCATATGAAACGATCCCTCACCGAACCGTGCCTCAGTTCGGAGCCAAGGCGCTGATGGTTTTATTTCCTGAGAGCAGGTTTTTAAGCCAGAAGACCCGACAATTTTACCAGAGCTGGTTCCACCCAACCTCAATCCTCCTTCCCTGCCCCAAAGGGGTGAAAAATCTGGACCGAGGAGAACTTCCTTGTGCTCCGGGAGGCGTTTAAGGGTCCAACGAAGACGTGATCGAAATGCAACGAACTGGACGGCTTACCCAATTAGGGACCCAGTTTCTTATTACCCAACTTCCCTGAGTCTGGCTTTTAGAAAAATATCCAAAGCGGCTGGGCGCTGTGGCTCACGCCTGTAATACCAACACTTTGGGAGGCCGAGGCGGGCTGATCACCTGACGTCAGGAGTTTGAGACCAGCCTGGCCAATAGGGTAAAACCCCGTCTCTATTAAAGATACAAAAATTAGTCGGGCGTCGTGGCGGGCGCCCGCAATCCCAGCTACTCTGGAGGCTGAGAAAGCAGAATCCTTGAACCCAGAAGGCGGAGGTTGCAGTGAGCCGAGATCGCGCCATTGCACGCCAGGCTGGGCGACAAAAGCGAAACTCCGTCTCAAAAAAGAAAAGAAAAGAAAAGAAAAGAAAAATGTGCAAAGCAACAAAAAAGAGCTGGAGAGATGGAAACAACTCTCAGAAGACCCTGGCATAACCCGCGTGCGTCACGGGCCGCAAGGGTCTTCCCGTCCAGCGAGCCGCCGCCGGCGCCTGCGCACTGACCCGGCCCGCAGCCGGAAGCCCCGGGGTGAGACACTTTCGGATTCTGTGGCAACGGCCGGATTAAACCTTTTTCTTCTCCATTACTGTTGAACCCACGCTGTGATTTAGAACACAAGAAACCCCAAGAGGCTGAAGGGATTGTCTTAGCTGTCTCCCTCCTCCGCCGGCACCGCCGAAGGCAGCCCCTATTGAGGCCACTAAGCCGCGGGGTCCTGGGTTTCTATGACGACAAACAGGCGTTCTAGGAAAGGGCGAAGTGACTGGATGCCGGGTGGGAACGCAGTGTGTGGGTAGGATCGTGGGTGTCCCTTTCCCGTCATTTTAAATCAAGAAACAGTGCGAGCCCTGCACAGCTCCCGAGTTTGTGGAACTGGCGCGCGAGCCCGCTGCCTGTGGGGAAGGTCGGGGTCCCCAGCCGAGCTACTTGCGGAGAGTGGCGCCCGTCAGGGGTGCTGGCGGCCGCCGAGCGGGTCCTTCCCGCCCTCCTCCGTGACCCTGACCCTGACCCTGACCTGACGCGTCCGCTAAGGCTTCTTAATCGCGTCACATGACCCTAGAACATAGCGGTCGCCCCGAAGAAGGAAAACCATGCTAGATGAATTCTTAACTGCGATCTGAACCTAAGTACTTAATGGGTGTCGTCTTTTTTTTTCTTTTTCCCTCTGGCTGCAGGACTATGTAACAGCCTGCAAGTCCCAGTGCGGCGCTGATTTGTGTCTAAATTAGCTTTCCAGAAGACTATTTCGAATTACTAAACAAAGTGATAGGTGGCAGTGTTTATTATGTCTCTTCCGAAAACGCCCTCCAACCCGCTAAACTCTGCATCGACATCTGAGAGCAAAAAGTTAAAAGTATCTGTAGCCAAGGAAGAGACCAGAGGTAAACTTCGATGATTTTGAAGTCATAACGGTTCTTGGCCGAAAAACAGAAATCACCTTCTAGTCATCGTGTTTTTGTGTGTGTGTCTTTTTTTTTTTTTTTTTTTTTTTTTTTTTGAGTTGGAGTCTCGTTATATTGCCCAGGCTGGAGTGCAATGGCACCATCTTGGCTCACTGCAACCTCCACCTCCGGGTTCAAGCAATTCTCCTGCCTCAGCCTCCCGAGTATCTGGGATTACAGGCATGCGCCACCATGCCTGGTGAATTGTTTCATAATTTTAGTGGAGACAGGGTTTCACCATATTGGCCAGGTTGATCTCAAACTCCTGACCTTATGGCCGTCCACCTCAGCTTCCCAGAGCTGGGATTACAGGCGTGAGCCACCACGCCCGGCCTCAGCCGGTTTTTAAAATCTGAGATTCAGAATGCCTTGATTAGCTACACTTTTTCTAACACACTTGCTTAAATAAAACAAGAAGTCATTCCTTTTACAGTATTTTGAGTCAGCATCCTGTTTCACTACTCCACCTAAATACTGTGTATGTTTTTCAAATGTAGATTTGTATATTGTTTTAAATTCACCCTAAATATCAATAGTTGGGTTTTTTTGTTTTGGTTTTTTGGTTCCTGGTCTTTGGCTTTAAGGAACTTTGAAAAAGTAATAGCGAGGCTGGACACAGTGGCTCACGCCTGTTAATCCCAGCACTTTGGGAGGCCGGGATGGGAGGATCACCTGGGGTCAGGAGTTCGAGACCAGCCTGGCCAATATGATGAAACTCCATCTCTACTGGAAATACAAAAATTAGCTGGGCATGGTGGCTCGTGCTTGTAGTCCCAGCTACTTGGGAGGCTGGGGCAGGAGAATCGCTTGAACCCAGGAGGCAGAGTTTGCAGTGAGCCGATATTGTGCCATTGCATTCCGGTCTGGGGGACAGAGCAAGACTCCATCTCAAAATAAATAATGGCAGAGATAAGAGAAATGCAATTTAGTACAACGTGTCAATTTGTATCAGCTTTTAGTACTTTTTCTAAATGAGAGGAATTCCTTAAGATTTTCATTCATATGCAGGTCTATGTTAGAATTAAGAATCGGCTAGTGTTATCCTTACCCGGTATTCTGTTAAAGCTTTTCCCAGTTTCACTTGCACCTTGTGCTAAAGCTCCAAGCCCCACCAAACTTTTTTTTTTTTTTTTCCTGTTTCTTTTGATCTCAAGCTCTCGGGAGACAGAGATTTGGTAATGTAAACCGTAACAACTTTTGATAGTGATCAAAGCATGTTTCCTCCTTATAGAAATAAATGTGAACCATACCATATTAGGGGCATGAATTAAGAACAATGAGAACTCAACCCTGCCTAACTGACTTCATAGGAGGGCTTTTCCTATGTTAGCCCTACTACCTGCCTTTATTACTACTCGGCCCTATTCAGGCAGGGTAGAACACTCTTTACAGTTCCCATTCCACAGATTTGTCAGCTCAGATTATTCCACTCTCATTTGCAACAACCCCAGTTCCATTTTTGCTTTTTTTTTTTAGATGGAGTCTTGCTTTGTCACCCAGTCTGGAGTGCAATGGCTTGATCTTGGCTCACTGCAACCTTTGCCTTCCAGGTTCAAGTGATTCTCCTGCCTCAGCCTCCCAAGTAGCTGGGATTACAGGCGCCTGCCACTGTGCTCGGCTAATTTTTATATTTTTAGTAGAGACGGGCTTTCATCAAGTTGGCCAGGCTGGTCTTGAACTCCTGACCTCGTGATCCACCCGCCTTGGCCTCCCAAAGTGTTGTGATTACAGGCGTAAGCCACTGCACCTGGCCCCATTTTTACTTTTAAGCCCAACCCAGATCCTTTCCACTCTGTAAATGCCTCGGTTTAATGCAATTATTCTCACCTTTGAATCCATGTAAGAAAAAAATTACTAAATAATTTGAGAGCTTGGGAGAGAGATTTGTCATTTTCATATGAAAGGGAAAATAGATATTCATTACCATCTTCTTAAGGCTATCCCAGTTAGCAAGAGAAGTGAGTTTAATTTTCAGCCTTGAATTGAGAATCATGCAGGTTCATCTTTGTACCTGAGTTTTTAAAACTGCATCTGATGTAATGTGAGTAGGGTGGACAAGATGAGTATGATTTCTCTTGACTAGATGATGTTCAGTGTTTTAAAAATGTTATTTGTTACTATTCTTGTCGAATAGAAGCAATGTTTCTCTCTGTTAGAAACAAATAGATGGGATTGATGAGGCAGTCTGAGAAGCGCCACCAAACTTAAAAAATATATAGTAAGAGCTTTTCTTTTCCACTACTTTCTTAGGACTTCCTGAGCTAAAGGAGAAAAAAAATATGGTGGATCGTTCAAAACCCCTTCCTACTTCTCTTCAGAATGACTTCATTCCTGAAGAAGTTCTTCTTTCTCTGACCTATTCGGCCAATGCCGGTCCTTGTCCTGAAAACTTACTGCCTCCTAAGAAAATTAAAACTCCAAAGGTTAGTATGTACATATGTAGAGAAATGGAGAACATTATTTTTTTGGAATCTGATTCTTTAAGTATTTATTACAAATATATTATATATATTATATATTCCAGGTAGACTTAAATTTTTTCAGATTGAGTGACTGAGACAGGGTCTTACTACCATCACCCAGGGTGGAGTGTAGTGGCCTGACTGTTGCTCACTGCAGCCTCTACTACCCTGGCTCAGGTGATCCTCCCACCTGAGTAGCTGGGACTATATAGGTCTGTGTCACCATGACTGGCTAATTTTTATATTTTCTGTAAGATGGGATTTGACCATGTTGCCTATGCTGGTTTCGAACTTCTGGGCTCAAGCAATCCACTCGCCTCAGCCTCCCAAAGTGCTGGAATTGTAGGTGTGAACCAACATGCCTGGCCTTAAAATTTTTTCTTCAAGTAATTGCTTAGATTGAAAACTTGTCTTTTATGTAAATTATTTCCAAGGCTTAGGTATTTCCACTGGCCTGTTTTTATGTGGATTTACTAAAATGATCATTACAACTCTTTTTTTTTTTTAGACAAAGTCCCACTCTGTCACCCAGGCTGGAGTGCTGTGACCCCATCTTGGCTCACTGCAACTTCCATCTTCTTGGTGCAAACAATTCTTATGCCCCAACCTCCTGAGTAGCTGGGATTATAGGCGCCCGCCACTACGCCAGCTAATTTTTTGTATTTTTAGTAGAGACGGGGTTTCACCACGTTGGCCAGGCTGGTCTCAAACTCCTGACCTCAGGTAATCTGCCTGCCTCGACCTCTCAAAGTGCTGGGATTACAGGCGTGAGCCACCGTGCCCGGCCAATCATCACCTCTTAATGTTTTTCACTTACTATAGAATTATTCTACTTTTAGTTTTTATGCCATCTAATAAGAATTCTGCTCTCTTTTTTTTTCCTTAGAGTATCCAAGTGCCCTTACTGTAAATAAAGCACTTATTCGAAACTATTCATAAATTTCATTTGATTGGAGCGCCCTCTGCTGGGTATTCATGTGTATTTGCTTTTTCCCAGGGCACTCTTCCCCGCCTTGTGGACCATGTCTGGCATCATCCTGTTCGAAGGAATAAATTCAAATACCTGATTGACCATCCTGTCTCCTTCACGGGAGCTGGAAGGTAAAGAAGGAAGAGTGAGGTTAGATGCTGACAAATAGAGTTGTTTTCTCATTTTGTATGATTACCTTCGGAAGGGTAGAATTGGAAAAATCACTTAATCATAGAGGATAAAATTTAGTTTCTTTGATTCAGAATACAATCCAGAAAGACCAAAGACCGTCTTTTTGTGTATGATTATTAGGGCGGAAATAGGTGCTGGCTTTACATACTTTTAGTTTAAATTTGTTTTTTGCATGGCTTTGTATGCTTGTCTCTGTACTCTCCTATTCCCTATTGGACCCTTGTAAGAGGACGAGACCCAATAGGCAGAATGCCTCTAGTGCCCCTTCTACCTGTGTGTCTATCTTTTGTGTACATCTTTAGAAGAAGGAACTAGGTAACATAGCTCACGATGTGGAAAACCTTGAAAAACAAAAGCTTAATTTCTGGATCTCTCCAAAGGGAGCGCTTCATCTTTACACTGTTTCAGATCCAGTCAGCAAATACTGTTGTTTTTTTCTCATTCCTACAAATATTCTAAATGTCAACATTTTCCCTGTGAAGATGTAGACCTGCTAGTTTTCTATGTATTGTTCACTTATCAGTTTACTCCATGCATGCCCCTCACTTAAATGTCACTTCTGAAAGAAATGTTTATACTTCACATACTTGAGCAGGTTACTTAGTCTTTCTGAAGTCCCATTTTCTCATATGTAAGAAGGGAATAGTAGGCTTGCCCAGTTTTGTGTGCCTCCCAGGGATTTTGTAAAGCACAAATACGATAATGGATGCAAGAGCACTTGTAAAACTATAATGTGCTGTTTAAGTGTAGGTGCTATTACTCAGCTATGTTTCAGTGCAAGAAAAAGTGGCAGAAACTTGTCCTATTGACTTTTATATCCTGAGGCTTTATATTTTATTCTGCTTCCGGATCATGGTTGTAATTATTAGTAGCAATGATTAGTATTATGAGTTGTTTGAAGTGCTTTGAAAGTTAACTATATCTGAATGTGGCAATAAGCTGACATTAAAGTTTTTTTTTTTTTTTTGAGACGGAGCTTTGCTCTCGTTACCCAGGCTGGAGTGCAATGGCGCGATCTCGGCTCACTGCAACCTCCGCCTCCTGGATTCAGGCAATTCTCCTGCCTCAGCCCCCTGAGTAGCTGGGATTACAGGCATGTGCCACCATGCCCAGCTGATTTTTTGTATTTTTAGTAGAGACGGGGTTTCACCATGTTGACCAGGATGGTCTCGATCTCTTGACCTCGTGATCCACCCGCCTCGGCCTCCCAAAGTGCTGGGATTACAGGCGTGAGCCACCGCACCCGGCACATTAAAGTTTTAATGCTGGCCAGGTGCGGTGGCTCATGTCTGTAATCCCAGCACTTTGGGAGGCTGAGGTGAGCAGATCACTTGAGGTCAGGGGTTTGAGACTTGCCTGGGCAACATGGTGAAACCCTGTCACTACAAAAAGTACAAAAATTAGCCAGGTGTGGTGGTGCACGCCTGTAATCCCAGCCTTACTTGGGAGGCTGAGGCAGGAGACTTGCTTGAACCTGGGAGGTAGAGGTTGCAGTGAGCAGAGATCGTGCCACTGCACTCCAGCCTGGGCGACCCAGCGAGACTCCCTCTCAAAACAAAACAAAGCAAAAAATAAAGTTTTAATGTCAAATGACTCTGAGTTGGAGTTTTTTAAGTGTGAAGTCAGGTTGATGGATAATATCCCCCTGACCCCACTAAAACATTTTCACTGTAATCTCAGAACCTGTGAATACATACCTTACCTGGCAAAAGGGACTTTGCAGATATGATAGAGGTTAAGGACATTGAGATGGATCGATTATCCTAGATTGTCAGGGTGGGCCCAGCCTAATCACCTGAATCTTTAAAAGTGGGAAAGGAAGGCGGTCAAATGGGTCAGAGAGATGAGGAAGGAAGAGGACAGATTTGAAGTGTGAGAGGAGTTCAGCCTGCCATTGCTGGCTTTGAAGATGGAGGAAGGGGAAAAGCAGTGAAGAAATGAATTTGGCTGCTAGAAGCTAGGACTTCTAATGACAGCTCAGCTGTCAGCTATCAAGGAAACGGGGCTCACAGTCTTACAGCTTTAAGGAATTGAATTGTTAACAATCCAAATGAGCACGGAAATGGATCTTCCTCTAGAGCATCCAGAAAGAAACACGGCCCTGCCAACGCCTTGATTTTAGCCCTTTGAGACCCTGTTGGACTTCTGACCTATAGAGCAGTAAGATAATACATTTGTGTTAAGATACTAAATTTGTGGTAATTTGTTGTGGCACCAATAGAAAACTAGTGCACGGGTCTGGAGGCGGTGGCCGTTTTGTTTTCTTGGCTGAAACTGGGGAAGTGAGGCGGGCCGGCGCGGCGCTACACCGGGTTTCAGACCCACTGCACGACGCGGCTGCACTGACCTGAAAAAACGGTCTGGATTTCTAGAGGGCTTGAGATGCTCAAAATGCATTGATGCAGGGCCGGGGGAGAAGGGGAGGGGGGGAGAGGGGGAGGGGGAGGAGGGGAGGGGAGAAGGGGGAGGGGGAGGAGGGGAGGGGGGAGAGGGGGAGGGGGGGGAGGGGAGGGGAGAGGGGGAGGGGGGGGAGGGGAGGGGAGAAGGGCAATATTTTTGCTTCCATTGCTGCTGGTGTACTATTTTTTACAGGCTGGGGGATTATCATAGATGCAGCTGTTATTTATTCCCCCATGGACGTTTTCAACCACTCATACCATGCCTGTGGTGTTAAAGAAACCATAGCCTTCCTAATAATTAATGCAGTATTGAATGGACAAGTCCCAGGTGATAGTTAACAGTGACGGTTGTCTGGGTCAAACAGGTGCTGGTATTTGGCTGTTTTTTGGTTTCATGTTGGCCTTTGGATCTCTGATTGCATCTATGTGGATTATTTTTGGAGGTTATGTTGCTAAAGAAAAAGTTGTGGTATCCCCTGGAATTGCTGTTGTTTATCCGGAATGCCTTCATCTTTTTTGGAGGACTGGTTTAAGTTTGGTGGCACTGAAGACTTATGAGAACATCTGATTTCCTGCAGCACGACTGCCCTGCATGGTTTTTGGTTTTTTTTGGTTTTTAACTGCCCACTCCCAATCTTTAGTAATGCCGTTTTTGAAGCTTATTTCTGAGTGTAGTCGCAACTTAAGGTTGCATAATACTAAAATCACAACAACACCCTGTTTAAACAACAACCAAAAATTTTTTGTGGTGTGCGCTTGATTAACTTATAAAATGTTAAAGGAAACTTTCACATGAATAATTTTTGTCAAATTGTATCATGGTATAATTTGTAAAAAATAAAAAGAAATTACAAAAGAAAAAAAAAAGGAAACAAATGCACGTGTGTACAACTAATAGTATTCACAAAAAGAGATGGCTGGTCCAAGAACCTCAGTCACCCAGAACCCAGCAGTAAAATATAAAACAACAAAGCAAATATTCTGTGAGTAATATTTTTTGACAGCTCTTTAAATAAATCAGTCTAGATCTTTTAAGCAGAAAAGAATCGAATGCAGAACATTGGATATTCACAAAATTGTTGGAAGGGCTAAAGGAGCTGGTATGAAGTGCCCGTGGGAAAAACTCCCAGAACAGGGTGGAATTGACAACTTCAGATAAAAGACATGTTTAAATATACACATAACTCAACCAATGATGATTTGCAGAAAAGTTTGAATTATGAGCTTGGTTTAATCTAGAGGCTGAAGAATGAGATGGAGGATTTCTTAAATAAAATCCAGTGATTGTGTTATGGTTAAGAATCAAAGTTGTTTTTTGTTTTTGTTGTTAAAATAGATTTTTCAGAAGAGTGGAGGCTGGTGTTTTATCACAGAGTTTTATGAAGAAGAAACATATCTATTTTTAATAAAAAAAATTTTCAACAAATAAACAGGCTGCTGCTGCTTTTTTTTTTTTTTTTTTTTTTCCGAGATGGAATCTCACTCTGTTACCTAGACTGGAATGCAGCGGTGTGATCTCTGCTCACTGCAACCTCTTCCTCCCTGGTTCAAGCAATTCTCCTGCCTCAGCCTCCTGAGTAGCTGGGATTACAGGCGCATGCCTCCATGCCTGGCTGATTTTTGTATTTTTAGTAGAGATGGAGTTTGACCATATTGGTCAGGCTGGTCTCGAACTCCTGACCTCGTGATCCACCCGACTTAGCCTCCCAAAGTGCTGGGATTATAGGCGTGAGCCACTGCGACTGGCAAAACAGTCTTCTTCTAAAAATAAATAACCTAATCACCTCTTAAAGGTTTCACTTCATAATGATACTGTTAAAATGGCAATTATGCTTCCAACACATGAACTTCTAAGGGACACATTCAAACCATAGCAGTACCCAATACTTTAATAATGTATAGAAACACAAAAGGCTCCTAAAGTGGCTTTTGGAGAAAATTTGAGTGATAATTACCAAATCAACGTATTCTTTACTTTTTAATTTTATTTTAAAAAATTGTTTTTTGAGATGGAGTCTTGCTCTGTTGCCCAGACTGGAATATAGTGCTGCAATCTTGGCTCACTGCAACCTCCCCCTCCCAGGTTCAAGCAATTCTTATGCTTCAGCCTCCTGAGTAGCTGGGATTACAGGCACCCGCTGCCACACCTGACTAGTTTTTAAATTTTATTTTTAGTAGAGATAAGGTTTTACCATGTTGGCCAGGCTTTTTACCATGTTTGACCTCAGGTTATTCAGCTCCCCAAAATGCTAGAATTATAGGCGTTAGCCTGGCCCCAACATATTGTTTAGATGATTATGTGTGTGTATATGTATATAAAATATTGCATGTATAATATATGTATAATTACATAAAATATATAATGTATAACTATACATAATGTATATATACACATATACATAGATGTATATGTGTATATATACTATTCATGTATATATGTACATATGTGTATAATATATAAATATACACACAGATATATATATATACATGAAGCATTCATTATTTTTAGCTAACAAAACAATTGTAATGGCCAACTTCTCCAGCATTTATTGGTGTGATAGCAACTGCTGATCCATCATCCTGAGAGTAGCTTGTTCAGATCTTTGTGACTATCTAAAACCTATAAGATGGTGGAGCAGAGAAAGAATCCCAAGAATTGGGAAATAAACTCTAACATTTCTCCCCTAGACATGTCCAAGAGAACCAGAATATCACAGCACAGGACATCAGTAGCTTGATGTCTTTTACTACGAATATACCTTTAAAAATAGTTTATGGTCAACGTCATATATTTCAGGATCTTCCTGGGGCACAAGAATTGGCCTGTTGCCACCAATCTCACATGCCACATCAGCTGCCAAATGACATTGCCCTCAAAGCACACCCTCTCCCACCATTTCACAATATTGTAGCCATTATAGTCATTCTAAAAGAATTTAAAATTTCATTTCGTCTATAAAAGCTTTCTAGCTTCTCTTAGAAGAAAGCCCAACCTTTTAAGCATGACTTGCCATGTTTAGTGCTCTAATTTCAATAATTTTATTCTTCATACTTCAACTATATGTTCAGTCATCAGTCAGTAAGTCATCCCTCAGTATATGTTGGGTATTGGTTCTTGGACATCTGCAGATACCAGAATCTGTGTATACTCCATTCCTGCAGTCAGCCATACATGCGTCAGAAACTCATGTGTATGAAAAGTTGGCCCTCTGTATATGAGGGTTTTACATCCAGTGAAAACTGTATTTTCAGTCTGTCTGGTTGAAAAAAATTCGTGTACAAGCAGACCCACACAGTTCAAGGCTATGGTGTTAAAGGGCCAACTATACTCAATTTTCAGTTCACTGAAGTCACAGTGTGCTGTCCTGTCTCAGGACCTACGCATATGCTGTTCTCTACCTGAAATACTTACGCCTTTTGGTTGCTTACCTAAATCCAAATCAGTTTTTGTTTTCACTGTTACTACCTTCTGAGGTTTTTCCCTGACTCAGTCTAAACTGTATTTAGGTGTTGTTATTAGTTGTTCCAGTGACATTCTGGTCTCTGTTATAATAGTCTTTATACTTTTCTTTGGTTTGAGAATCTTCACCTCTATATTGAAGGCTCTCCAATGGTAGGGACTATGTCTATTTATAAAAATAGTTCCGTATTCCTTTCATCTAGCGTACTTTCTGTTACTTATAATATGGTTAATAAATATTTGCTGAGCAAATTAATGAATTTTCGGCATGTTCATGTACAATCCTAGAACCCAGGGACCAAGAAGTGGGCACTTCTTGGTTCCCAGAGGATTTTTTTCTCTACTTTTCTTTATTTTGTTTTATTAAACTTCTTATTTTGAAATAATTTAAAGACTCACAGAAAAGTTGCAAATGTGATCAACCCTGGAAAATATTTCAGGGAAGTGTGGTAGAAGATAACTGCTAAGAGATTGTTTAACTTGGCAGTGGTGGTGGTAATCATAATCAGCTTTCTAGAAAATAGTTTCAGAAGAGAAGTCAGATTGCAGTACAATTTCAGGAAGTTTGATGTTTAACAGAGAGTGAGCAATGATAGCTCAATCAGTTGATCCATTGATAGATCATAATTACATGACAGCAGCTGGGTGCATTGGCTCATGCCTGTAATCCCAGCATTTTGGGAGGCTGAAGCAGATGGATCACCTGAGGCCAGGAGTTCGAGACCAGCGTGGCCAACATGGCAAAACCCCATCTCTACTAAAAATACAAAAAATTAGCTGGGTGTGGTGGCACGTGTCTGTAATCCCAGCTACATAGGAGGCTGAGGCAAGAGAATTGCTTGAACCCAGGAGGTGGAGGTTGCAGTGAGCTGAGATTGTGCCATCACAAGTCCAGCCTGGGCAACAGAGTGAGACTCTGTCTCAAATAATAATAATAATAATATAACATACAACCCCCAGAAAATTTTTATACACTAAATAAAAAATAATAATAATAACAGCAACAACAACATGACAGCAATGCATGGTCAAAGAAAGATTTTTAGAAGGGGAAAAAGTTCGTTATAGATCAAAGGGAATGTTCCAGTAGAGTGGGAGATATGCAGAAGCTATGACTGATGGAATGAGACTCCTGAGGATATGGGCAAAGATGGAATCAAGGACCTAGTGGAGGGAATAACCATAGGGAAGAGAATATATTTTAAACTGATACTAAAGGAAAGGAAAGAGTTTGTGATATGAATGAGAAATTTCAGGTGGAGAAGAGAAAGAGTGTGGGGGAACTCATGTTTCATGCCTCAGTCTTAGTAAAGTGTTAGGTAAGGAGATCAGTTTTGCTGACACAAAGGACCGTCTTACCCATTAGAAGGATATGTGTGTATCTTACCTGCTGTTATGTGGTATCCAGATAGAAAATTTATTTTGTAAATATATTTTTCTTACTTTTTAGGGATATTTCTTTTCTGTATAATGTTAAATATGCCAAAGGACAGACTAAGGAGAAAGCAGTTTGTCCCCCGCATTTGGCCCCTTCATTGCAGTCACACGATGGTGTCATGGTACCCCATAAGGTAAATAAAGTATTTGACAAATAATCTTTTCTCCCAATATATTTTTAAAACTTATGTCTCCAAAATATAAAACAATATCATACTATAACAACCTGCATTGCTCACCAATCTTAATAGCATTTTCGAATTATTTCTTAAAACGGGAAAAGGGTATTCAGCAGGAAAAGATGAAAATACCTTCTTTTAAGCCATTTTCCAAACAACAGTTAATCTGTTTTAATCTAAAAAACACAGTGTGGGAGATGTGATTGTTTTCCCCCCAGAAATGCACAGATGAAGTTGTAAGATTCTTATCTTTTGTATCTTGCTAAGTTGAATTTTAAATTCTCTGCTTAATTTAAAGGTAAATAATCAATAAACTTCTGAATATGTGGGACACATGTAACTAATACTAGAACCAAGGTTATTCTTTAATTCATGGTTATTTTAGAAATGTGTGCTCTGCTTAGTTTTTGTCATTTGCTATAATCGACATTACTGAAAATATTGTTATTCCTCCAGTCAAAATTTCTTAACTTAAAAAATTGTATCTCTTTGGGTTAGGAATTAGGACTTGTGCAAGTGAATTTTTTAATCTATTAATGTATTCATTCTTTTCTTTTGCTTTGCTTTGCTTTTAAGCCAAAGAGACTAACAGATACTTTGATTCCTGAAGAATTTCATATTGTGTCAAGTACAGGAGTTTCAGGTTTGGAGTATTATGATGAGTGAGTACCATGATATGTAAAGAATACCTAGCTGGGCACGGTGACTTACACCTGTAATTCCAGCACTTTGGGAGACCGAGGTGGCCAGATCATCTGAGGTCAGGAGTTCAAGACCAGCCTGGCCAACATGGTGAAACCCTGTCTCTACTAAGAATACAAAAAATTAGCCGGGCATAGTGACAGGTGCCTGTAATCCCAGCTACTAGGGAAACTGAGGCAGGAGAATCACTTGAACCCGGGAGACAGAGGTTGCAGAGATCCAAGGTCCGCCATTGCATTCCAGCCTGGACAACAAGAGCAAAACTCCATCTCAAAAAAAAGAATACCTGACAAGTTGAACTTTTTGCTCCTTCCCATGCATAGAAGAACCTGAGAATAGTATATTCATATTCCTAAGCAATATATGAACTGAAATGAGGAAACATTAAGCCAGCCATCCTAATACAATTAAGAAAGATACAAATTAAGTACTTAAAAGAGTTTGGGATGTTAGCGATTAAAAAATTATTCATTTTTTTTCCTGCCATTTGATTTTGAACTTAAAAAATGGGACTTCGTTTTGAACATATGACTATGCCCTTTAGGAATGATTTTGAGCAATGATCATAGAGACAAAGGAAAGTAGCCCTTGAGCCTGCATCTCATAATGCACACTCCAGGGCTTGGCTCCACATCACAGACTACTCATCTTGTCACCTTTGATTTCTAGTTTTGGGATTGAAAATGGGATCTTGCTTTTATTTTCTGAAACAACACTTGAATGTTTTATAGTTTAGAAAACTAGAACTTTGGACTAAGGTTTTATAACAAAATATGCAGAGGCTGTCACTCTTTTGATATTGTCTTTCCAATATGTATGTTATATTGCATTTCATTGTGATGGTATGTTTCAGAACAATATTTTGCCCAAGAGAATTAAATGGAATTCATTTTTTGGTAACCTTTTATTTTTATGTAACTTCAGACATAAAAAGTTGCAAAAATGGGAAAAGGAATACCTATACACCCTCTATCCTGAGTCACTGGTTTATACTTTGTCTCATTTGCTCTTATACACATATAAGCATACATATACATGCACATATTTTCAAACTATTTAAGAGTAAGTAATCAGATTCTTCTACCACCAAATACTTTAGTATGTATTTCCTAACAACTCATTAGTTATACATCTTTTGATGATTTTTTGTTTGTTTGTTTTTGAGGTGAAATCTCACTTTGTCACCCAGGCTGGAGTGAAGTGGCATGATCCCTGCTCACTGCAACCTCTGCCCCTTAGGTTGAAGCAATTCTGTTGACTCAGCCTCTTGAGAAGTTGGGACTACAGGTGCCTGGCTAATTTTTGTATTTATACTAGAGATGGGATTTTGCCCTGTTGGCTAGGCTGGTCTCAAACTCCTGACCTCAGGTGATCCACCCACCTCGGCCTCCCAAAGTGCTGGGATTACAGGCATGAGCCACCGTGCCAGGCCTTGATGAATTTCATAATTTCTTCTGTATGTTCATCATTTCTTCTGTCAATTTGTTAGTTGTCATTTTATCATATGGAATAATGGATTTCTATTTTATTTGATGGATTTTAATTCTTTACTATCATTTTTCATTTTATTTTATTTAAAAAAATGTTTTTAGTGTTTTTTTTTGAGACAGGGTCTTGCTCTGTTGCCCAGGCTGGAGTGCAGTGGCATGATCTTGGCTTACTGCAACCTCAGCCTCCTAGGTTCACACAATTCTCCTGCCTCAGCCTCCCGAGTAGCTGGGATTACAGGCGCCCATCACCACGCCCGGCTAATTCTTTGTATTTTTAGTAGGGACAGGGTTTCACCATGTTGGCCAGGCTGGTTTTGAACTCCTGACTGCAAGTGATCCTCCTGCCTCACCCTCCCAAAATGTTAGGATTACAGGTGTGAGCCACTGTGCCTAGCCCATTAGTTTGAGGGTCAGATTTTTCCAGATTTGGCCAATGGCCAAAGGTGGCTCCTTCGAGCAGTCTCTTGTGTTCTTTGGACATGTCCTTATGATTATTTGAACACCTGTTTTCTGACTTGATAAGGCTTCCAGGTTCATCTTGTATTTTCCAACTCTAGCCCTGGAATGAATGGTGGGTCACTTCTCCAAGGAGTTCTGTTTCCTTTTAGTGGAGGATAGTACTTAGAAACCAAGATTCTGGGGGTTAGTTGTGCTAATTGATGAACAGGCCAGAAAATTTTCTTAAAATAACATTTACCTATCTTATTTATTGTAGCAAATACACCACTCTCCTCACAGATAGTGAAAACAGACTCTTGCTCTTCCCATCCATGTAAGTACAGTTTATTTTCTAAAGTGTTTCTCAGAAAGAATAAGTATATACATATATATTTCTTGGTACTTTGTTAAACGAAATCATTAAAATTACAGCAGAAACCCAATATAATAATTTCCTACAATTTCATCATCTAATCAGTGTTTTCATTTTTCCAATTGTATGTTCAATGTTTATGTATTTTATTTGTCTAATTGCATATTCGATTTTACATATTTACATATATAGCATAATATTTAAATGCTATAAAGTACTTTTATATTCTGTGTTTAACCAGTAGTATTTCTTCATTTTGCTATGGTTTTTTTTTTCCTTTTCTTTGTCCCTTTTCTTCTCTCATGTTGTGAAGTAACTAGTGTTAAAAGTTTAAGGCTTATTTCCTCATATTCTTTATTTTTTAATGTTCTTACACTCCTATGTGATAGTATATAGAATTTCGGGGTTGGAAGCATTATTTTCTTTTATGAAAAAGAGAATCATACTATTTGGATTTTCTTGCTTATTTCTACTATATTACTGATCTCCCAATAGATTAATAGATATAGGTCTAATGCTTAAAATGCCATTAATATCCTAGAGGGCATACATATTCTCTTTACACATATTACATTCTTTTGCCATTTGAGAATTACCTGTTGCAATGTTAATTATGTAAGTCTGCCACCTTAATTTTTTAGGAAACCTAATAAAAGAGTAGAAGTGGCCAAGCTGAATGATGTGATGGATGCTATGCTAGAGAGGGCTGGTGTGGAAAGTCAGGAATATACAGGACCAACCAAGGTAATCGCAAAGATGAATGCAACCTGGTGGCCAAGAGCATGCCCTCTGGAGGCTGACTGCCTGGGTTAGAATTCTGACTCTGCCGTGTGTTAGCTGGTGGCCTTGGACAAGTCATTTAATGAATTTGTACCTCAGTTTCCTCATTTGAACATTGGAGATAATAATATCTACCTCATAGGGTTTTTGTGGAGATGAAATGACTTAATAAATGTAAAGGGTTTAGAAGAGCTCCCGGCATGTGGTAGATACTGTATAATTAATTGTTAGTATTGTTATTCCACCAAACATAAGATATCATTGATTGTAAGACCCAGCCACCGCTTGTAATTATTATTTTCTACTTAAGAAAGAATTCTTTTAGTCTTATATAGAGACTTTTTTTCTTTGTCAGGGCTATTTCTTTTTTGTTTTTTATATTTTATTTGTGTAGAATTTGAAACTTGAAGATAAACTTCAATACAAGACACTGCTATGCAACCTTTACCTAGATTCTCCATCCAGTTATTTCTATTGTGCCCTATTTGCTTTATGATTCTCTCTCCTTCTCTGTCTACATATGCATCGTTTCGTTCTGAGCCATTTTAGAGTGAGTTAGAGACATGCCTCATGAGCACCCAGATATTTTGGGACATATTTCCTATGAACAACGACATTCTCTTATATATCCATAATATAGTTATCAGGAAATTTAATGTTGACATGATAATATTTAACATAGACCACATTTAAATTTTATATTTTATCAATTTTCTCTATAAATGGCTTTTAAAAATAGCTATTTTTTCTTCCTAGTCCAGAATTCGAGGATCACACAGTTCTTTTAGTTGTCATGTTTCTTTCTTTCTTTCTTTCTTTCTTTCTTTCTTTCTTCCTTTCTTTCCTTCCTTTCTTTC